GGCTAGCGGTGGTTTAAGGCGTTCTGGTTGCTGAAACAAAAAAGAAAAGAAAGAAAAGAAATTTTATTGATGCCCAAGACATAAAAGGTCGAAGAATAAAGTAGGAGGAGAAAGGAGGAGGAAAGGAAACGGCAGAGAAAAATCAGCTATTCCTGCTCGGCACGACAATACAACACTTCCTTGCCTTTTCAAGCTCACAGGCGAAGGGAATTGACATTCAGTGACCATCCATTTTCCCTCCGCCAAGTTGCCTCTCGTCCCAACCAAGTAAAGATCGTCCCTGCAGCTATGGCGTGGGATCATCTCGCTATTGATAAGCCACACGTGGCCTACATGATCTTGGGTGGGTTCACGAGCCTGTTCATGTTGTGCTCGCTCTTCGTCAAGGAGAGACTCTATATCGGTGAAGCAACAGTAGCTACACTATGTGGTGTCATTTTCGGTCCCCATGCTGCAGGCCTCTTCGATCCTATCTCATGGGGAAATGTTGATAAGCTGACATTGGAATGCTCGCGCATCGTTCTTGTTGTGCAGTGTTTTGCCGTGGGTGTCGAATTGCCCAAATCGTACATGGAAAAACATTGGAAGTCGGTTGTTTTACTCCTGCTGCCCGTCATGACCTGGGGCTGGCTCATGACCAGTCTTTTTATCTGGTGGATGGTGTCTCCATTGACATGGCTGGAAAGCCTTGCCTGCGCTGCGTGCGTTACTGCTACTGATCCCGTTCTGGCTTCATCCGTTGTTGGTAAGGGTAAATTTGCAAAACGTGTTCCCAAACATCTTCGAGACCTGCTTTCCGCAGAGTCTGGTTGTAACGACGGCATGGCGTTTCCGTTCATATACCTTGCTGTCTACATTATTGAGTACAGGCCAGATTCTAAGGCAGTGGCCTACCATTGGATCTGTTTTACTATCCTCTACGAGTGTATTTTTGGTGCCTTTTTCGGTTTCATGATCGGGTATATTGGCCGCCATGCCATCAAATTTGCGGAACGGAAAACTCTCATTGATCGAGAGAGTTTCCTTGTGTTTTACTTTGTGTTAGCTCTGTTTTGCGCGGGCTCTGGTAGTTTGCTAGGGATGGATGATTTGCTTATTGGTTTCGCTGCTGGAGTGGGCTTTAGTAACGATGGGTGGTTTACGGAAAAGACGGAAGCATCCCATGTTTCCAACGTTATTGATTTACTGCTCAATTTAGCTTATTTTGTCTATTTTGGAGCAATTATACCATGGGAGCAGTTTAATGAGCCAGAGCTTGGTCTGGTGCCTTGGAGGTTGGTTGTTATTGCCATTTTTGTGATCCTTTTCCGACGGATTCCCATTATGTTGCTCCTGAAACCTTTCATATCTGATATTAAATCATGGCGAGAAGCACTGTTTGCTGGTCACTTTGGTCCAATTGGTGTTGGTGCTATTTTTGCTGCTATCCTGACCAGAGCAGAGTTGGAACATGGAACGACTCAACCTCTCGCAGTGTTGCCAAAACTAGGCGAACACAACTACACAATCGTCGCTCTCATTTGGCCTATTACCACATTCATGGTCATCTCGTCTATTATCGTCCACGGATCTTCGATTGCCGTATTTACTCTTGGAAAACACATTAATACATTGACTATTACCATGTCCTATACACAAGCCAACGATGACGGGCCTTCATGGATGAACAGGCTTCCTCGCATTCAATCGCAATCCAAAGCATCATTGTCATTGCGAAAAGATTCGATGGAGTCAGATGCGAATGAGAGACTCCCAGAGTTCCCGCCCGGCACGCTCGGCCCTGTTGGGTTTCCGGGGAACATGCTGCGACGTCAGAGAGATGATGCAGAAAGCGAGCCAAATAGTCGCGCATCAAGTCGTAAGCCCTCGAGGAGACGGAGGATGGGTGCTGGTGGACCTATTAGCCAGTCTGCAATTACCCCGCAGAGAAGACTGGAGGTTTCTAGCCCTTCATTGGGTGATGTCACTGATGTGAACCAATCCCCACGGGGACGATCTCAGATGGTAACTGAAGGTTCCCAAACGGTTCGAGAACGTAAGGTGGAAATTTATCGTGAGGGTGAAAAGGTGATCATCGAAGATGAGCAAGGAAATGTCTTGGACGTGGCTGATGTCGGAGATACAACTCCTGACAAAGAGAATGAGAAAATTCTGGAGAAGCTTACACTGCCTCAGAAGGACCAAACCGGTGAACTTCCAGCGTCTAAGGATCTCTCACATGAGAAGACCAGAGGTGAAGATCTTGGCCCTACTGTTAGTGAGAAGGCGCCGTGTAATTATGAGAAAATCAGAAAACATCTACCTGCTTGGATGGGAGTTGGAGAAGGGGAAGTGAAAGCTTCCAAGGTTGGACCCTCGACTCAGAAGCCTCAACAAGAAGGGCGTCGGACTGCAAGGGCCTATCAGTTTGGAAACACAATAATTGTTGAAGATGCGGATGGTGAAGTCATCAAGAAATTCACCATTCCTCCTGAAAGGTCTTCTAGGGTTATAGAAGAAGGGGGCGCTAGTGGTGCGCTAGACATGAAACACACCCCATTCCCTGAACCAGAGCATATGCGACGAAAGATGTCACGCGTAGGAACATGGGTTGGTTTTGGAGAAGGTAAAGAGGGTGGCGAACCTTCGAAGAAAGCACAGCAGCTTGAAAGCGAATCTTCAGACGACGCTCGACTTCGATTCACGGTAACACGGGCCGATCTGATGGCAAGACCTGATATGGGACGTAGAATGAGCAAGAACAACTTCATCAACCAGATTCGCTCTCTTGATCCCAAAACTCGCGCGGAACTCCTTCATCACTCCTCCACGCCAGAACAGGTGAAAGCTGCCCTTCACAAAGAACCTTTACGACTGTCTGAACGACAACCTCACCCAGAATCACAGCTACCCACACTACCTACGCACGACTATCAGAATAGCAGGGAACAAGGTCAACATTCAGAACAGTCCATTCCAACCCACATCGTTGGTGAAGCGCCTCGCCAGCACCTCATTTCCACCCCAGAAGCCGGTAAATTAAGCAACTCCGCGTCCATAGCCTCTACGCTTGGTCGTCACGACTCCGAGGACGATGGCACAGAACGTGTTCCGCCCTCGCAATTCCGCCAACTTGAAAGCCTCCCGACATTCTCCTTTCCCCAACCACCGTCGGGTCACGTCAGACGAGATAGCGGAGAAACTCCTGCAGAACGCAAGCGACGACTAGCAGCACTAGGCGAATTGACGGATCATGGCGATTGTGATGAAAGTGACAATGGTAAAATGGAATCGCCCGGTGGAACTCGTGCTCGAAGTGGCAGGCGTCGACGACATCCTGTGATTCAAGAGTCTGATAGTGAGGACAATGGGGAACCGCGTGAAGTGAAGGGGACAGTGCAGTTTGCTGATGGGACGAGGCCAGCGAGAAGGAAAGGGGGTGCTGGAGATGTAATTATCGCTCCCGTGCCGGCATATGTAGCTGGTTCAGGACCCGATGGTGATAGTAATGAGGATGAGAGTAATGAGAATTGGAATGGTGGCAGAAGGGGTATGGCAGCTGGAATTATTAGCGAAAGGAGTGGTAATGGGAATGGGAGAGGGCACACGCCGCGAGTGTCATGGGGAGGGGAGAGGGGGAGGGATTCATAAAGGATCCATTGAAGTAGGACGTACGTTTCAGGTACAAGATCGTCTGGTGTTTTGATTCGCTTTAGATATTTTTTGCTAATGGTGGCCTTATTTTTCTTAACATACGTTTTTTGATCATTTGATGCTAGATGCGTTGTCTTGACTTCTTCTGTACTGCAAATTATGCTTATACGGCGACGGAATTGTTTTTCTGTTTGACCATCCTTCCTGATGATGGTCGGTGATATATCACAGTTCCTACATAAGATGTAATTAGTTCTTCTGAATATAACTACAGACTAAAAAGACTGAAGATTCCATTTTAAGAGGTAAAGGATGTAAAGGGATAGATATGGTTCAACTTCCCGTCTTACACTGACGGAGAAATATACTACCCTGCACCTATGGAAAACAGACAGTGTTAGATACAGAGCAGCTTGATTGACTCGTTCGAGTTGCCACTGGTTGGATAAAATCCGACAAAATCTTCTATTAGAATTGAGAACATATGAAGTTTAATAGGAAGATCACTGGCTTATTGTTTGTTCATAATGTCTCT